AAAAAAAAAAAAAAAAGGAAAAAAGGTATTGATGTCTTATTTCTCTTAAGGGAATGACCTGTCTTCCCAGAAGTTCTTGGCAATAAGATTTTAGAGAGAACTTACGGGAGCAGGGCTTCCCAAGGACAACACACATTGGTTTGGGGGTTTCCAATGCAGCACATCCTACACCATAAAGGAAGACCCAGGAAAATAAAATGCAAACAGATGATAAAACTAAGGGTGGAAAGTCTGACAGAAGTGCCTTTTGTTCTCGGATCAAAACAAAGATTCTTCAAAGTCTGTTGTACACATGCTGTGAGAATGAGAAACTTACAATTGGTGGATATCACAGACAGCCCCCAGGCAGGAGACTCTTCCAAACCCTTTCTGCCTCTCACACAAACCAGACTAAAACTTCATCTACCTGCCACGTCTGATTGAGAACACTTTGTCTTGCTTTAATCAGAAAATTCATTCTAGAATGAAATCCTTCTCCTCAAAGATTTATTAGGCCTACACAATTGTCCTCAAAGAGGCTGTTTTGAAAAGCATTTGCTTCCAAAGAGGAACATCTTGCCAAAGAGGAGCGTCAGTGACGTGACTCGGGTTCCATCAGTGGTAAAGGGGTGGCCGGGATGCTGCCAAGACTCACCTATCCATCTCATGAGGGACGTCATGATTTGAAGATACTTGGTCTTCTGCACATTGAAGAAGGTGAAAGGACCCAGGAGGAGAGTGAATGCTGCCTGGAAGGACAACAAAAACACACACATTAGATTAAAACCCAGAAATTCTGCCAGTAAGACAAATTCATTAGCAGAACAAAGCTTGCATTGAAGGTTCACCTCCAGACATGTCCGTTTGTCATGAAGCTTTCTTTTGTTGCTGAATTTTACAGCTAAGTTGGCTGACACACAGGGGGTCAAGTGAGCTGTTTGGTATCAGAGAACATGCCTGGGGCAGAAGTAGAGCTCAGGATCCTCTTGGCTCTTGGCCACTTGCTATCACTGCTCCAGCACTCCTTTACTGACACATTTCAGTAAAAGCTCTCAGTGCAGCCTTACGGAACATTAAATATTAAACTGTGGCCTCTTTGCCCGGGTACATGCTCAGTTTAGGTCTGAATAGCAATAGCCCTGACCAGTCTGCTTGCATTAACATTGATGGGGTGGCTTCAGGGTATCCCAGGCTCAATGGCAATGGAGCCAGGTCTGCCTGGAACTTTTTTCCCCCAGGCTTTAAGTTGCTTGTATAAAAGATATAGGGTTTTTTATATATTGAAAAGCATATAATAGGAAGCTATAGTGTAACATTTCAGCTCTTGACTTGGAAGCTTGGACCTGTGTAAAGTGAGGGAAAAAAAATCAGAGATACTCATAAGAAAGAACTTAGTTCAGTGTGAAAATTAAAGGTTCTGTCAATGAAAAGAGACCTTTCTTCACTGCCCTCTTAGATGTGTATTAAGAGACCAGTGTTTCATAGAATCACAGAATGGTTTGGGTTGGAAGGGACCTTGAAACCGTCTAGTTCCATTCCCCTGCCATGGGCAGGGACACCTTCCACTAGACCAGATTGCTCAAAGCCCTGACCAGCCTGGCCTTGAACACTTCCAGGGATGGGGCAAATTAAACTGGGGTTTGCTGCAGCACCGGTTTGTTGCATCTCTTTTAGCTGGGTTACAAAAACATCCAACAAAGATTCATCCTACAAATCTGGACTACAGAGCTTCCCATGGGAGTTTCTTCTAGCACTCTCCTAGAGCACACAAGGCAAGCGTGTTGCCAGCCCCTGCCCAGAGGTGATGTCCTCTGCAGCACTGTCACCTCTCTGGGCACCAAGTGGCACTCAAGCCCCACCTACCCCAAAGAGAAGAGAAAAGGCTTTGCTGCAGGAAGAAGCAGGCTTTGGCTGTGGTCTGAATGTAGACTGAGAGAAGCTGCTTGTGACAAGGAGACAAAATGGGTGTTACAGAAGAGAGCCCTGCCTGTCATCCATGGGATAGCACCAGCTAGTGATACACTAACAGGTCCAAACGCTGTAAGAAGGCAGTGTTTAGAAAGCAACAACACACAGAGACCAGGTTAGTAGAGCATCCCAAAGGGATTTTTAAAGACAAATATTCAACATTAATATTTACACGTTGCTCTTTTCCGTGACTTCTTAAAGCAGTTCGAGAAAAGGTGTCACTAGAAGTGAAGAACTGGGACTCAAAGGGGCAGGCTGATGAGCCTCAAGGTCTCTGTCGACCCCAACAGAGTCAGGGACAGAACAGAATCCAAGCTATTTTAAGACCAGTACAACCCCAAGAAACCTTTTTTGAGACAGTTTCAGAACATCTGCAAGGCAAATTGGAAATGCCTCGCATCACAAGTATTCTCGGATGACCAAAGTAAACCCAGAAGGGGACCAAGGGGGAGAACCCTCGGTTTGACTCATCACTCGGTGAAGACATATCCTGATCTGAGGCCATCACTTACACCAAGGCTTGTTTTTTCTGCTTGGAAAAAAAAAGGACAGGAAGCATGCACAGAATTCAGATTTGTGAAGCAACTGATGGCTATTGGAGAAAACACTGAAATCACACAGAATACACCACCACAGGCATAACTGGCAAGACTAAAAGCTAAACCAGCACTAGGAGTTATGACACTTCCATTTTTAACACAGAAGCCAACCAGCCAGTTAAAAGCCTCTTTCTTTTCCCTTCTTTTTAATCTTCTCCCTCTTGTTCCTTTCTTCTAATCAGGAGCTTAACCCTGCTCTTCCGCTCTCTACAGACTGCCACTCTGTCCTAGGACAGTGCACAAACCCCAAAGGACTAAATAAAACTTTAGACTAAAGAGTGATGTAGGGCAACGATCCAGAGAAAACCACAGACACCAACTCCCTTACTGAAAATTATTCTTGAGTTTGTGACTAATCTATTTCAACCTGCTCTTCCCCAAAACAGACACTGCTCAACACAGCCTCCCTTCAAATCACGTTAACAGCTCCTGCGTCAGAAGGCGCTGAAACACAAAGAGACGGACGAAGGATGGTGATAATTAAGGAACAGGTGTCTGCTGCAAATGAGAATGCACCAGAACCAATCGGCAAAACAGCCCCTCAAACCATAGCAAGGATTGACACAAAATCACCGAGCACACAGCTGTGTGTGAAACCCAGATTTGCCTCACACACCGAGGAAAGAGCCGTGTTAAGGTAGATTTGGGACTGAAAAGCACCAAAAGCATCATCAGGTGCTGGGAGAACCTGTATCTCTAACATACTCCCCAACATCTGCTAAAGAAGCACGAGAATTCTTCTGATTTACTCTCCACCTTCTGCAGGGATTCTCCAGCACCCTAAACAATTAAATCCATTGAGCAAAGCTTTCAACTCTGCTCCTCTCTGGGCTTTACTGCTCAGCTCTCAGGGAACAGACCCAGGTCGTTGTGCTTGAATGGCTGGATTCCCCTCCCATCCTTTAGCATGATCAGTATCTTCTGCTCTTAACAAGATCCTGGAGCTGGTCCAGAGGAACCAAGTGAGAGATTAATTCTAGTGCAATAAAAATTTATTATCTTTTCCACTTGATGCCCATTAGTGATCCAAGATGGATATCCATGGATCGATACAAACAACGCTAAGGCCTGCAATGAGATGAGGGTGCCCTGCTTTGTAGGGATTTCTGACAACCACTTTTATGAAGGGAAGCCACAGCACACACTGGACTGCTTGGGAGGAGAAAAGCTGGACAGAACAGGGCAGTAAACAGCCAGATTAACATAATTTTGAAGTACAGTGGTGTACAGCTCTATCGGATTGAGCACAGGGCAGGACAAAGGGGTCAGCTCCTCACCAACAGCCAGGACACAAGGAGCAAGGACTTAGTCCCTGGATTAGAGCTAATCTCATCATCAACCCTCAGAAGAGTCCCAAGGCCAGGAACCCTATTAAAAACATCCCCAAAAGCATGAGAAGAGACCACAATGCTTAGCAGGAGGATGTCTGCTTTCTCTACCTCGCGGTGCCAGACACCTCAATGCTCTTCTGACCCATAAAGTTAATTAGTTTCATAACTTCTCCCTAAGGAAAAAGTAACCCCAAATAAGCACCTCAGACACATACCCAAACTTTCCACCTGATGTTTCCCAAGCTCAGGCCTCTCCCAGAGGGAAATAATTTACAAGGTGCTCCACTACACATGTAATTCAAACCTACACAGAAACCTGCACCAGTCACGCCTGCCAGAAATCAAATACGCAGAGCCCCGACACATCAAAAAGCTCTCCCAAGTTTTCCAGTTCACCTCTTGAGCCAACCAAGATATTTTCTAGGAGTTTATCCTTCTCTTACTGAGATTCAGCAAATTAACCCAAGGCAGAATGAGCATAATCTACTTTGATTAAAGATTTTTCTACTAGTGAAGTGGTTTCCTATTAGAAACAAGCAGGCACATGTGGCTGATTCGTTGCTATACTCAAAGAAGGTAAGGGAATGCTTCCCTGGGCTAAGGAGGAGAATTGGATCTATTAAATACTGTTTATATGCACAGGATGGCAGAGGGAAACCTTTACAGTGCTTTTGCACAGGGCTGCCTATTAAGAGTGATTCCCTAATTTCTGTCCAAACTCCTCCATTGAACAGGAAAGGCCAGATAAGTCCCCAGGCTCATAGTGGAGGGTATGTGGAACCCACACACAGCAAATAAATGTAAAATCCTTTCTTTTTCTTTCCTTTCTTATGCTGAAAAACGGCATGAAGATCCAGCATGCTAGTGACTGAAAAACCACTGTTTTCCTTGCTTTTACTGACATTTCCAGTCAGAAAATGAGAAGCCAGTGAGGGTAGAAGAAAGAACAGCAGCTTGTCACCCTGGATTACACTCTTCCCCACAGGTTAGTAGGAGCCACGAGCAGCACACCAGCTTGTTCAACCCCTGGGAGGGTCTTCAAATCCATTCCTCCCACCAAGCCAAGCCACAGCAGTACAGGCACCAAGGTTTGGGAGGTTCTCTGAGCCGGCAACTCCGCTGACACCACTTTCCCAGCCTCTGTACCTGTCAGCTCTCAGTATTTCAAAATGAAAAAGCAGGCTGGTCAACTCGAGTCTTCTTGCCACGGGGGAACTAGCTAGGGCTTACCATTGCCTGGAATATATTTTTATATATTTTTATATATTTCTAAAAGTATATTTTATTAAAGCTCTTATGATAAAACTTGGTTATGTAACCTTGTTTATTGGCTTATCTTAAAAAAGCAAGAGTAAGATCAAGCGTTAATAGGACATCTGGCTGGTTTTTATCAGCTTAGTTTCAGCCAAGAGGACCACCAAGAGAGCTCTCAACCACTAAGTGATGGCCAGCTAATGCCAAGAGTCTTTCAGACCATACAAACATGCTTCAAGCCAGTCAGAGGGCTGTTTGACCAAACAGGTTCTTTATTGACCTGAAGGGTCCATCCATCACTCTGAACCAGTACAATTCAATAGCTTTCATCTGCTTCCCAGCATGTGGCTTTTACAGAGGCAGCCAATACAGCTCAGGAAGCACAATTAGCATCCCAAACGTGGCTGATTCATGTATTAGATGCAGTAGTTACAGCATTATGGCTAGTGCCTGCATACATTTGCAAGAGGACCATCTCAAAAGCCAGCCTCATTCGTAACTGTCATCAGAACTTGCTTGTTTTTATGCTCCACAAAGTCATCTCTAAGAATTGTATCTGTCTTTGGTGCTTGCCAAGTAGCGAATTAAAAACAGTAG